AAAAAGAAGAAGAGCAAGCTCTGTAGTGAAAGAGTTACATTTTCATGATCCAAATGGCGAAGAAGCTTGATTTCCCGGAGAGTACGTTTGGCGTCCATGTAATTATCGAAAGCATTGGCAATCTTCTTTACAGCAACCATCTCATTCGTCTCCGAATTCAAAACCGAGCTTCAAGAAACAAAACGAAACGAATTACATCAGGGATAAACATTAAATTCGATTTGATCGAGAAAAATCAATTAATTTCAATTCAACTGCCTGATATAAATCAATACCAGACGATTCCATAAGCTCCCGGCAATAGGCATGATGGGAGGGCGGTACTTAGAGGTGACCTCAAACAGGTTTCCAAAGATGTTGTACTGAACAAACTGCCGCGTTGGTAAAAGCTGGAAATTCGGGGAACTGACTTCCGGACATGTTATAGTCTGCCATCTTCTTCCTTGTTTTGCTTTTTTTTGCTGCTCGTCCGTGTATTATATATACTTAAATCAGCTTCAGGCTGGAGCTAGCTAGCTCTGCTCCCCGTCTCTCTGCGTCGTGGGTGTGCGTGTGTTTCCTTTTCTGGGATTGAGTCAATAACTGAATCTATGACACATATTTATATGTACATGAATAATGCTATGATAGAGATCAATGAAGTCTGCGGGGAAATTGTGAGAAAGATGGACGGGGAATTGCCGGGCAATGAAGAGGAAGGACGTCAGAAGAAGCGGACGCGGTTGCCATTTGACTGCTCTTATATATTTATTTATGTGCCTAATTTTTCACCACACCTCCACTTGTCATTTATCTATAAATTAATCTTCAGTTTTAAAATAATAATAATAATAGCCATTTTTTAAAAAATTTAAATAAAAATTTTAACCATTTGGTGACAAAATATTATCGATCTGATGGAGTAAAGATATTAAATATTACTAGTTTCTTTCATATTGCTCCATCTTTAGTCTCCATCCTCACCCTCCATTTCAAAGAATAAAAAACCAATTTTGTACTAAATGGAATTTTGCAGTTTGACAAAAATAAATACTTCTGTGATCATAATTGAAAATTCATGACAGCGTACGGATCAAGTAGAGATTTGGCCAACCTATCATTTAGCGACAACTAGTGGAAATAGCACACGTTCTATCATCTATGTGAGTACAAATCTAAAAAGAAAATTTTTTAAAAATATACTAAATTTTTTAGTAGTTGTTGGAGGTTTTGTGTTTAGAAATATGGATAGAAGAATTGTATTTTTTTTCTTTTTTTTTTTTTTTTTGCAGTAATTGACTCATTGGAAGTTTTGTTAGGCTGAAAAAGGGTGGTATGTGTATGTGTTTGTGTGTGTTTATTATACTAGTTAGTACTTATATAGGGTGAACAATTTAATAGATAAGATACCAGCAGAAAAAAAATAATGAATATTGAAAAGATATATTTGACAAAATAAATTATAATACTTTTTTTTTTACACCAACCCCTATTCAGACTTTATACATAGAAGAAGAAGAAAGATGTGTAAAGGTATACTGAAAAAGGAAAAAGAATACATTGAAATTGTTTACTAAATTAATAAAAGGACGAGACATGTAATAAAAATAGAATAGAATATTCTATTTGCAGAAACGAGCGATGTGTAAGTCAGCCGCTGCTCCCTGTAGCTTTAAATTACTTGATCTTGGAGTTTGGAGCTGTGAAGAACGTGGGCCTATCCTAACTTGGTCTTGCTCACGCTGATTCCTTTTATGTCGTTAAAAGATGTAGCAGTACTTACCCCGTAACTTTAATAGTTCTGAGTCTTTTTTCACACAGTTTAATAAAAAGTAGTTAATTTTATTGGAACAATCAATTTAGATAGTTATTTTCCTAAAATACCCTCACATTAATTAGAGTACAATTTTATGAAAACTTGAATTGATGGTAAAAAAAGAATAAACTCTCGTTAAATAGAGTAGGTTTATAGTAACAACAACTTACATTGAATAAGGGTATTTTAGAAAAATTAAAATATAACTACATTTTTCAATTGAAAAGTGGACTACAATTTGGGACAGACGAAAAAGAAAACATGACTATTAAAGTGGGACGGAGGGAGTGGTATTTTTCTTATCGTTGGTTACGGAAAAGAATTGTAAAACCGCTAATGATATCTCTTAAATTTTTGTGATTAACAATTATGAAAGTTAGTAGTATTTCTTATGATAATACTGATATATTCGATTCCATCGGAACAAAATTGGGAATCTTAATGGTTACATTTTGTTGTCCTTTTAGTTGCCCTTTTGTTTGAGTTGATCAATTCTGTATTACCCCCTATAAGAGCGAGTTGAGGTTGAGTGGTTGACGACGAAATAACGAGCCTTGTTTTGACTTTTGAGAAGAAATGGCAGCCTTCGTTAGATGTCAATGCTTGACCAGATTGCAGCCTGCAGGAGGACTCCTCCTCCCTATCAGCATGGATGAACATGAAATACCGACGACTGACTTGGTGACACATTTCCCTACGCAGACTGCGTCAACTTTACGCCACAAACTGCGGTTGGAAAATTTGGAATTAATAATAATATAGCAATACGACATTAAAAAAAAAAAAAAGAAAAGAGGCAAAAATTATGTCACACATCCACTAAAATAAAAAAGAATAGTTCTGATGATGAGGGATTTCCTACTGTACTTGCACATATAAAAAAAAAATACTTTTTAAATCTCTTGAGTTGGTCGAGTCGGTAGAGTTGGTATCATCACTTCCTATCAATTCGGATTTTTGCCCATCGAATAGAACTTGTCTAATGCACCTGGTTATCCTATATGTACTCTCGGATAACGGTTACAGATTCCCTTATTAACAAAAAAAAAAAAAATTATTAAGGGCTTGACTAATTTATTCTCTATTTTTATTTCTTTTCTTTTTTTTTTTGTTTTGGGCCTTGCATATAAAAAATACTTTTTCGGTTTTCTTTAAAGTGCCGGTAAATATTTTTTCAGAACGCTTGTCCTTTTTTCATTGGGTGAAAGGTGTAGACACATGAGAAGCTATAGCTGGAGAACCACTATTCTGTCAAAACTATAATATTTTGACAATTTAAAGCAAACAAAAACAGATAGACCGTCTCCACCGTTGGCCTGGTGATGTTGTTCGGGTCAATTGCCTATCCAGAATGAAAGTGTGTTCATCTGTTCCAAAGTGTTGACTCTCACATGCAGTAAGTTCTGCTTGAGATAAATTAATGTTTTGCTAATAAATAATTTGGTTGCTTTGCTTAGAATTTTAACGTACTTATTAGTGGCCGTTTCATGAATGTGAACGAACTACACTTGGTTAAGCTCATTAAATGAGACCATACACATCACATAAAAAATGTCCAAAGCGAGAGGAAGCATATTATTTTGGTCTAATGGTCTTAAAACTCGAGTAAGCATGACTAGAAAGTAAACTTCAATTAGAGAAGTTGAAAAAAGAAGGTTGAATTATTCTACGTCTCTGTAACATGGAACTGTCCTAATTTCTTATGCATATTTGGAGGTCAAAGGCAAAGGCATGGAACGCTTCTGAGGTTTTCATTCTTTAACTAAAACCATAGTCATCATTTGTTTTTCTTGTGGACTTCTGAACAAGACTAGACAATTGATCACTGAATTGTTACTTTTGTAATTTGGGGGGAAGACAATTTTGCAGCAGCTTGACCATATTTAGCTTTTTGACACGAGAAACTTTATCATAGCTCATCGACTATAGCATGTTAACTGCAAACTTCACTATTTTCTGGACTACAAAACTTCAAAATTTCGAATAGTTAAGCTGCCTAACTTTCAAAATTTAGCATTCAGTTTCAATATTGCGTTTACAAAATAATGCTCCTCAAATGCGCAAGAAGTCAAAATTGAATTCCGCTTTCCGTTGCCTATGTTAATATATCAACCCGACAGAATTTGCTAATCTAACCCTTAATCATCAAAATGCACACTTTACTTCTCACAATTCAAATTTCAGGCGAATCCCTTAACGTTTACAGGACATCACAGAGACTCCCAGGGGAAAAGAGAGGACAGAATGGATACACCATACCGAGGGGAAAAAAAAAACTGAACGGTAGTTTCAGCCAACTTCTCTTATTGTTGTGTAACGTTTGGTACTACATTAGACGAACCTTCTGTCGAGGCAGGTTTTTCTCAGGGAAGATTGGATCGGGTTGCTCAAGAATTTATCTCATAGCAAGTAGAAAGTCTTGGGAGCTGCTCTGGCTCCGAACGATGAAACAGATTCGGGAACCACGATTTGATGCTGTGGAGGCAAACAATATGGAAGCGCTGCTAAAGCTTTAATTCCTTTTCAGTATCCAAAGAAATCAGGCCGTAGACAAGAAATCCCCACCTTAGCGCATATTTTGAATTGTAAACCTTAAACGGAAGTCTGCCTGGACTTAACTTTACAGATTAGCTTGACCCTCTGTTTTGTTTTTTTTTTTTTTTTTGGGGTAATTAAAGATGCATTAAAAACAAAAACCAAATACAACACTCAAATCAATACCCATAGAAAATGGCTAAATTTCGGGATCACAAGATGCATCCCAGCCACAAGTGCATGCCGCCATGTTGTCGCATAAATCAAACAGGTCTAACCCCGTCTTCCAAAAAGATATTCCCTACCAAGCCCGCCTACAGCCTAACAAACAATGGATTCGATCGATTCGATCGATTCACGACTAGCAGAATATCAAGGACCAGCAGCATTAACACAATCCACCCATTAGAAATACCGAAAATTGCAACATTTTTAAGCCATAAACACAAATAAAAGAATTCCTAAAGTCAAGTAACCGTCCTCAAATAAAAAATTTGAACCTTCTTTCAGTTAGTATCTACGTTGAATTATGCTATCCGTCTCCTAATGTGACTTGTTAGCATTGAAGCATGCAAAAAGAAAATTGCTATTCCGTTTGTACCCAAGTTAAATGTTTAAATTCCCACCCATACCCAATTGTGAAAACATTAAGATGCAGTAGTAAAGGGAGGAGTAAAGACAGACAGACATTCTAGTTTATTTCCGGGAATATGAACGACCACATAAAGTTCCCATTATCAACGTCTGCAACATCAATTTCTAAATTCTACATCATTTAACCAAAAAGTAGCTCAAAAGGAACTAATAATTTCCACATCAGACAGCAAAAGGCAATCATATTCAGGCGGCCATTCCCAACCCTTGCTCAATCGCTCAAGCTTCAGCAAATCTGCAATAGGCAACAATCAGCATATGAGACCTCGAAATAAATCAGTAAGCTATTGCCTGACGCTTGTGCAAAATCAAATTGTACTAAAAGAACTTACCCCAACTCAGAAAGTTTCTGGTGAGCAACTGCATAATCAGCAAAAAAAGCATCTTCGTCCTGAAAAGGAATTGGACAATTATATTATTGCAGGAAAGCAGGGTAAAAAACAGCAAGTACAGGTACTTTGGAAGTAAAACATTTAAAAGTTCAAAAAAATATATATATGATCACTGGATATAGTAGCACAAACCGCAGCATATTTCTCAACAAGTGGGCGGAAGGCAGGATCACTGAGAAGAGCCTTGTCTGAAGGCAGCTGCAGAAGTCCTTCTTTATCCCCACTCAGAAGCTCCCTGTTAAATTATAGCAGAAAGTAGTTATTTACACCACATATTACATGAGATAACAGGGGATTTGACCTAAAAAGGCATCTCATTGAGGACTTACGTAAAGTAGGAGTTGTCAAAGATAAGGGGGTTAGCTGTCCACGGGCCCTCAAATCCAGAGCGCTCCTTGTGGCATCTTCCCTGAAGAAATATTGCCGAAGCCCAAGATAACATCAATAGCGTGAAACATAGAATAATACTACAAAATTAAGAGATAAGCTAAGTTCCAAAACTAAATGGGGAGCAGAACAAAGCAGAGTAGCATTTACAGACCAAGGTGTGGCCACCAGAGAGAGCAACAATATCCTGGTCAGAGAGACCCATTTGTTTCACGAAAACATCCCTCAAATGGTCGCAACCTACAAGAAGATTGCAACATATAAATAAGCATGAATTCTGTATATAATCATGCATTCATTGCTTTGAAAGGTGTTAAAAGTTTCATTGCAGTTTCTGATATCATGCCTATTTTCTCGTTCATTGTTTAAGCAAGGGACACTAGAATGATTACTTACCCTTAGTAGCATCAGGGAGACGACCTTCGACTGGTGGCTCTGTCTTATCCTGATATCACAGAAGTGCAAAATCAGAGAGCATATCAAGCACTCGGCTTCATTTAGAAACATTCAAAACTGATCTTGAAGTTGATAAAAAATTCAGAAAAATCAAGATGTGATCTTCTTTACGCTTGGAATGACAGCCCGTTACTGACTCTAGAAACCAAATAAGCAGTCAATCCCATCATTGTGTCAAGGTCAACAACAAAGCACAGCTAGACTTGGAACATCAATGAGTATACATTGTCAAGAATTATTTTGGTCACAAGGGCTCAAGATCTCAAGCTCGAAAAAAGACAGAAATATTTTGAGCAGATGAACAAGAAGAAAGAGCCAGAGGGAAGGGGACATCAGATAACATCAGCCAACTTGCAGTCTTACACAAACAAAATGACTAATCGGCAAGAGACTCAAGTCAAAAATTTTCGAGTGTTACCCTGCATTCCATATGACTTGTCCTATGGAATGCACAAGAAGCATGTAAACCATTCTAAGGCCTTGCACCAAACAAGAAAGGCATGACAAACAAAATTGATATTCTAAAGTATCTTATGCATATCTCTTTTCCTTGGTAAAATTTATGCAATCAAAGACAAGCAAAACAATTAAGCATAAGAATACAACAAAAATTTAAGAAATAAAAAACTAAGAAGGATTCAGGAATTGTTCAAGAAAATCTATTTTCCAGACAGATTTAATTAACAGTTAAAACAGCAGAATGTGTGAAGATCAAAAGAAGAGTATCTTATATTCCTAATTTTATTCTTAATTGGTCCTCCACTTTGTAGTAGTTGCCCCTCTATGACAAAAATCAACGGCAAAAGACCTCAAAAGGCATCCCAACAATAACATGTGGTGATCTAAAGAGAAGCATTCTCTTCCAACATTTCAACTTTTTTTTTTTGGTAAAAGATGCTTCATAATACAGTGATTATTGCTTCATAGTATAGTGATTATCCTCTATGAACCAAATTAATAGTAGACGACCCTCAAAGAGAACCTATTCGATAGGCAAGGGCATGCTGAAAGCATAATAAGTAAGAGCAATCAGGTGCAGATAACCTGTCTTCCTGGGTGGAATGGAATATCAGGTCCTCCAGTAACTTCAACAGCGACGACACCAGCTAGCTGCATGCAAGGGTAAACAAACCAGTTTCCATGTAAATCCAACCTATGTTGACAAAAACCAATTAACCATGCAAATTCAAACATAGCATCACATAGAAGGGGGGAGGGAACCTGATAAAAGTCAGCATAAGAAAGAGTAGGGAATTGCTCTTTGATGGCTCCAAGAGTCTAATAGCGATGTCAATACCATTGTTGGCCTCATGACCTTGCTCTGCCTTGAGCCTCATGGTTCCAAAAGGACCTCCAGTCTTTGAGCCCTGGTCAAAAGTACCAGCAGAGTGCCATCTGCAACCACAGAACACATTTCCAACCTCATCACATACAATACCCACAAATTTCCATCCACCGACGAAGCATGACAACCTTGCACGAGAGGTACACACTACACGCATCATCAGTACAAATTAACAGTGAGACATACGCAAGACGAAGCATTAAAGGAGCACAGTTCTTCTCGCGATGAGGCCTCTGAGCTTCCTCTTGGCTTTGTCAAGTGCCTTCAAGTACTCTGCACTCACCGTTGGGTACGACTTGCCCATTGTATCTGCTTACCAAAAAATGAGCAACAATTTCAGACATTCTGTGCACAAATCAGGTAAAAAGGATGACAAATAGACACCCACAAAAAGCAGCATCACATCCAAACACAACCAAATAATCTCAAATGCCAGCCTACCTAACAAGACACAGATATTAGAGGTACGAAGAAACGTTTTATTTACCAAAATCCAGAATTTTTATACGATTTCAAAGATCTATCATAAGAAACAGGCTCAGTTATTTTTTCTCTAACGGATCGCGAAACAAAAGCTCACATAGGCTACAAGATCCTTTCCGGTTTCCGCTACCAATATTTTTATCCATATAACCAGTAGTCTTCGGTGTTTGGCTATGTGAAGATGTACGACAAAAGAGTTATTCTTACACACATCGACATAGGTTTCAATCAAACAAAACCGAACAGCATCAAAAGAAGAAGAGAAGACGCCGGATTAACCAGAGTTCATCTTAAATCAGAGTGATCAACACCAAAACAAACAATATATCTACAGAGTCAACGAACAGAAACACGATCGAAATGGAAAATCAAAGTAAAGCTACAGAAACTACAAGAAAAATGAAGAAAATATCAATGCAGGATTGAAGATATGCAGATTAGGGAGAATAACAAACCTCGAGACCGGAGAGAGGAGATCGAAGGCAGGGGAGGAATGTAAAACCTAGCAGCTGCACAAGCGCAAGAGTCGCTGAGTCACGTTAGGAGCGCCACGAGCAGAGCAGAGCACAGCGGGAGTGTGGCTGGAGAGGCCTGAGAGGACATATAAGGGAGAGAATGTTCTTGTAACTTAATGTGGACCGTTGGATTGGGAAGATCGTGCGGTTAGAAGTTGATTGGATATTTTGACGGTTGAGATTAGTTTTCGGGACGAAATGGACGACGGGCTCTGTATGGTAGATGGGTAGGTGGAGTTATTGAATAATAAGGATCAGACAATTAAAACAAAAACAAAAAAACAAAGCGACGTCTTGGTGGAAAATTAAAAAGTGAACTTAGCGATAATGATGGACTTTTGGATGTTTATGTGAGATGACAAGATTGACCTTTTGGATTCCACCTGGGGAACTTTCAGAAGTGGCATGCAGGAATGTGTATTTGTCACTCCATGCCGTTTTGGGGCCCCATTTGAGCTTCTTAAAATCTTAACCACCAACAAACAGAATAAGCAAAATTTTTTTATTTTTTATTTTGAGCATCCAAGGCCTTGATGTATTTATTTATAAATAAGCCAAGGTTTAATTTCTAAGTTGTGTCTACCTTGTCTAATAATCTAGTGATTTTAAAGATTCTATTACTCGATAATTTTAATAACTATTTAAATGTACCTTATATTTCTTCCTCTAATTTTTTATATTTTTACAAAAGGTATGATCTCGTGCATTGTTAATATACTTTTTTCCGTTATGCATTGCTATTTTGTTAAATATCTTATTTGTTTAAACTTTTGCTTGGTGGTTTTAAGTTAAGAAAATGCTTAGTTAAGATCAATTAATCCTGTGATTTTAAAACAGGTCATGCATTCATAATTTTGTAAGAGTATCAACTTTATCTTCAAGAGAGCTAAATTTTCGTATCTTCATCATAATTCATTCCTCTATGTAAAACTCGTGTTCTTAGTATCAATTACTCGCAAACACATGTAAGTTATGTCTTTTTACTAATCAAAAATGTGAAGTTATATAAAATGTGATTCTGAATGTTATGACCACTTATTAATTGTCTATGTTGTCTAGTAATTTGTCGAAGTTAATCTAATATTACATTTTATACAATAAAATGATTTTGAAGTTATTGACAATTAGAGTCTAGGTGGTGAAAAAAGAAGAAAAGAGGAGTTTAGGTGGGTGAAATAGAATAGTGGTATTAGACTAGTAGCACTAACATTCAAACGAATCTTCGATAGGGGTCAGTTATGCATAATAATTCACTGCACTAGCCAATAATTGCATTTCCTTTGTATAATATCATCTTATCTTGAAAATTCCGAAATATGTTACAAGAAGCACTTGATGTGCAACTTACAAATTTGAAGTATTTCGAGCACTTGCTGTACAAATTTTTTGCAGTTTCAAATGCATGAATTTGCCTCCCATTTTCCAAAGCGTCGAAGACCAATTGCAAATTGGCCAATTATGAAAACCGGTAGAATGAGGCATGCCTGGACGCATAGCGCTGCAGGGAATCATAGCTTCAAACAGGGCATTTTGGTCATTCCATATAGAAATCTTTGACTGGCTAGTGTGAACGCATTGAGTCTCGGAAGATACCATTTAGCTTTCCCAGTTACACGTCATGTCGGACCTTGTCAATAGTAATACTACCCACTTTCCCGTCTTGGGCGTAACACTTGAATAAATCGTGAGTTGATTTCGAAGGATCCAATGATTCAAAATATACCACGTGTCAACCTTCCCAGTTTCGGGAATTAATACTTGATAAGTCGCCAAAGGTCATTGGCCATTGTTATATTGCCGGTGGCTTTTGTTGCAGGAAATTGCGTTATTGTTTGGATGGTAGTTTTTGGTACAAATTTTTTTTTCCAAATACTCAATTTTTTTCCAAATTGAGTATATTTTTTAATTATTTTTTATTTTATATATATATTAAATTCCTACAATAAATCTGTTCAAAAAGTTATAAAAAAAGCAATACAAACGGAATGTTTGTTTGGCAAAATATTTTATTCTTCATGCAGGCCAAGCGCTGAGCTCATCTGAAACAACCTAGTAGCAATTGACAAGACGCAAATGCGGACGCAGGCATGCGGCACTAGTACTGCTGATGTGGGGCACCGCATTTCTTTTGTGGCTTTATTTTCTTCCACTCTTAAGTTTTGGCCTTTGTTATAGAAGCTCGTTTGACAAGTTAAAAGTTTTTTGAGTGTTTATCTGAAATTTTTATTTTAGTTGACTGTAAAAGTTTTTAAAAAATTTTTAAATATGTTTTTTTTAATATTTTAAAGTGTATAGTTTAAAAAACTTATAGCAGATAAACTTAGCAAAAAACTTGCCTACCAAATAATGCCCTGAATTTCGAAAATTTGATTGAATCGGTCCTTTAAGTCATGTTAAAATTACTAAATAATACCAGTTCAATGTATTCACACTCCACCCTTTGTTTTATTTTATAGGATTGTATTGATGTTAGTTAACATTGAAAATTCAGCACTTAAGTGCGTATCGTTTTTTGCTCCAAGTCCCTAAACCATTGTTACAAATACTCTCTCGGATTGCCAAATAATGAAAATGATCCGGTTTTATATTTTAAAGAAAAAAAAATTTTATTCGTTAGACCATAACATATTGATTATGCTCCTTTTTGGTACAGATGTGTTAAAAAAAAACACAATATCCAATCACAAGAATAAAAGTTCAAGGCAAATAGCTACTTAAAGGGAAAAAAAAAAGTGAGAAAGATGAATGAGAGGGGGGATATTGTTCAAATAATAAAGTACAAAAATAGTCAATAATATCATAGATAAATAAATAAGTAGATGACAAGCAAAAGTTCCTTTGCAAATAAGTATTTGTTTGGCAAAATATTTTGGCTCCGTTTGGATTAACTGTTTTTAGAGGTGTTTTTTAAAAACTTTACTGTAGCTGTGTATATGAAAAACCTTTACTGTAAATGTTTTTTGGATTGTTTTTAGAAGTATTTTTGAAAAATATTTTTGAGTCATTTTATAATTTACAATTTTTTGGGATTTTTTAATTATATGGCTATGTTTCTATATATTAATATTTTTTTTTATATATATATATTTTTATTTCAATTTTTTTATAACATGTATATTAATATATATTTATATATGTATTGGTTTGGGTACCCAATTTGATATATAAATATATGTATATTAATATACATATTCATATATATAAATATATATTAATATACATATTCATATATATAAATATATATTCATATACATATATAAATATATATTAACATATATTAATATACATATTGTAAAACAAAATTGAAATATATATATATTTATAGATTTATATAAATATTTTTATTTATATATATTTATAAATATATTTTAAACAAAAATATTTATATTTATATATAAATATAAATATTTATTTCAATTGATATAATATACATAATTGAAATATACATATTAATATTAATATAATATATATATATATACTATATATACATAATTGAAATACACAAATTGAAATATACATATTATAAACAAAATTGAAATAAATATATTTATATATTTATATAAATATATTATTATAATATATTTATAAATATGTATAAATATATTTTAAACAAAATATTTATATTTATATATTAATATATATATTTATTTCAATTGATATAATATACACAATATACATATTAATATACATAATTGAAATGTACATATTAATATATATTAATATACATATTATAAAACAAAATTGAAATAAATATATTTGTATATTTATATAAATATATTAAATATATTTATATAAATATATTTTAAACAAAATATTAATATTTATATATGAATATATGTGTTTATTTCAATTGATATAATATATATATATATATTAATATACATATTTATATTAATATAACTTTTATATAATATATAACATAATTGAAATATACATATTATAAAACAAAATTGAAATAAAAAATATTTTATATATAAATATTAATATATATATATATATAAAAAGATAAAACAAATTAAAATCGAAAAATCTGATTTCTATTTCCAATTTCAAAAACTCCATTACCGAATTCGAACTAAATTCGCATAATTTGAAATCGAAAATTCCAAACTTTTTTGTATATTTGGAGTTGTTTTGGATATAGTATTTTTGGAGTTATTTTTGTTTGTGTATTACTGTAACATTGTAGATGAAAAAATTGTTTTTCAAAAAATGCTGAATCCAAACAGAGCCTTTTGTTTTCATGCAGGTCCAGCACTGGTCTACTGGGTATTAAGCATTCACCTCATTTGAGACTACCTACTAACAATT